CTAACATAAACGAACTCTAAAGAATTTTGTCGATATCACGTGATCGAAAAAAAATTGGTGGCGATGCTGGGGAAGATCAGAAGATCATCAGTGATCACGTGATTTACAGCATCATCCGCGACAATTATTGAACATGCAGAACTTTTTTTATAAAGTTTTTTATTGGCAAAAACTGCTTAAAAAAAGTTAAAAAGATCTAACTTGCAAAACTAGCCAAAAAAATTGCCGTGGGTTCGATTAACTATTACTATACAGAACGTATACTATGAACATACCGATAAAATTTCCACCTTTTTCATAATAATAGTCAAAAACCTTCTTCGACTCCTCATAATTCGAACCTAATCCCTATTCAATGTGCATGTTTGTAAGCGTACATGATTCTAATGTCGAAAGAACACACATGCCAAAGAAAAATCTTACAAATTTTTCGCCAAAAGTCTTAAGTTGAAATGGTTAACAAAAATTAGTTAAAACAAATCTAATGATGATGACAGTGATAGAATTAAATGTTATACCATTGCGCCAAGGCATAAAGGAGAAACCCTCAAACCACTACGTCCTAGAAGAACATAATCATCAAGAGCTCCAATGGTCTCTTTAGTATCTGTTGAGTCTTGAGCCATTTTGAAAAATTTTTTTTTCAAGGAATGTTGACACAATTTATAAATACGTACGGACGTATGCAGTTAACGGAATATTACATTTTATTTGCTTGATTACAAATAGCTAATGCACTGTATTATCATAATTAGGTTTAAAATTTTTATTGTAATTTCCGTAAAATGTAAGTCGATCTTCCCTATTTAGGAAGTGCGCTACAAGTGGCGGGCACTTATTTGTGCAAGTGATGCAAATCTAAAAGGGAAATTAGCTAATCGGAAAACGTAAAATGTGATTATCCCGGATTAGCCCGACACGAAGAAAAACCGAAAAAATGAAAAAAAGCGAAAATACAAGAAAACGAGTGTTTAAACCTGTCTTGGGACACTAATTAAAAATAATGGGAATGAATTGGAAGTGAATATTTATTTCTATAACATCTGACTTTAACGCTCTAACTTAAATTTTTAGTGTTAAGAACTTGGATTATTTTTTACGCTGAATTACCTTTTTGGGTTTGTATCACTCGCGCAAATAAGTATTTTCCTAGGCCGGTAAACATGCAGCGGCTTCAGGAGAGACCGTCCCAAATTAGGGGACGTTAAAGCCTGGCACTTCCGGTTTTCGATTTCTAATTAATATTAGGGTTAGGGTTAAACATAAGCTACAAATTAATAGATATATAGTAAAAATCACTTTTCGACAATTTTACTTAGTGCATCAAGACCGATTTAGATAGCCATTTTTTATTTATCTTTGTCAGTTTGTTCGGAATAATCCGTGGCGCATATCAGGTAATTTCGTAAGGTGCCAGGCTCTAAACGATTTTACTTATTTGCGCGAGTAACACAAACCAAAAAAAGGAAATCGAATTTTGTAAATAAACTAAGTGCATAAAGATAAAAGTTTATGGATAGGGCGTTAATCTTATAGGCTATAGCAATAGATTGTTATCCATTATATGCAAAATTTCGTTTCCAACATTTTTAATTATTCGCTAGGATCGATTTAAACACTAGTTTTTGTGTAATTTCTCTTTTTTCTTCTTTCGCGCGTGTTCGGAATTCATGTCGGGATAGTCGCTCTCCGATTGGCCATTCTCTTTTTAGAGGCTTGTATTACTCGCGCAAATAATGACCCCCAAATTAGGGGTCCTTAAAGCGGGAAGATCATGTGTTATACCGTTTTCCCATTAACATTAGGGTTAGGGCCAATTTGGGTTAGGATTAAATGTGCTCATATAAACAAATTGCCTTCCCGACATTTTTAGTTAATGCACTACGGTGGGTTTAGACTACCATTTTTGATGTTTTTCGCCTTTTTCTCTTTTTATCGCTGGTTTTGCTTCGTCGGGCTGATCCGAGTTTATCAATTTTGACGATCCGAATGGCTGATTATTACGTAATCTGCCCGCTTCAAGGACAGTTTACTTATTGTGCGGGTAATACAAACCCAAAAAGGAAATCAAATTTTTTAAATAAACTAAGCGCGTAAAGATAGAAATTTAGAGTAGAGCATTAACATTAAATGTTATAACAATAGAATGTTGCTCGCTATATGTAAAATTTCGTTTCTGAAAATTTTAATTAGTGCACCAAGGAAGGTCGATTTAAACACTAGTTTCACTTTTTCTTTTTTCGCACGTTTTCGGAATTCATGTAATTTTGTGCACTCCGATTGGCCATTTCCTTTCTAGGTTTGTATTACCCGCACAAATAAGTACGTACTCCTTTAACGTTAAGGAGACCTCAAATTAGAAATCGACTCCAGTAGTGTTACACGAGTGTTAAAGAAATTTTTTATACTTTTTACAATATATTTTTAGGAACTTCGGGTAACTTACCCCTTCACTTACAGCTGTTTTCATAGATATTGGGACATCTGATAAAAATTTGCCGAATGATTTTCGGCCGATTCGATTAAGTTATTGATTTCGGCGGGTGCCGGTCAAAATCCCGACAAGCACAATCCCACAGGTCATAATCCTGACAAAAAAATCCCGACAATTAAAAATCTTAACAATCGGGTAGAAATCCAAAATATGGGAGGTGTTTAAAGTGAAGTAGACTCTTATAATTTAATTAATTTTAGGGTTAGGCCACGCAAAGTTAATTTTTCGTTTTGCATAACCCGCCGACCCAATTTTTCCAAAAAAAATTTTTTTTTTTTTAAATCATATGCACCGATTTTTGGAGTTTATAAAAAAAACTTATTTTTTTAAAACTTTAAGGCTAAATAATTTTTGATCTACTGGTTCATTTTAAATGATTTTACTACCAAAATGTTTGTCTCTTTGAGACGATTTCAACAAGCCCAAAACATAAAAATCTAATCACAGAATCATGAGAAAATGTGCTATCAAATAGGTGATGCACCTGAAATTGGTTTAACATATATCAAACCAATTTTAGATATGTAACCTATTTGATAGCGCATTTTCTCATAATCCTGTGATTGGATTTTTATGATTTTGGACTCGTTGGAATCGTCTCAAAGAGACAAATATTTTGGTAGTAAAATCATTTAAAAAGAACCAGTAGATCAAAAATTATTTAGCTTTAAAGTTTTAAAAAAATAAGCTTTTTTTATAAATTCCAAAAATTGAAACATATGTTTCTATTGTGTCAATTATTCCATTTTTGCCATTTAAATTTTTTCTCCGGTGGCACCTGATGATGACCTTAATTTTTCGGAATTTTCCGATAGGTCTGATAAAAAAAAGCTAAATTTTCTAATTCCATATTATGCAAATTGAAGAATTACCTTGCATGACCTTATATGTGAACATGAATCTATTAATTTAGGCTATTCAAAGTTAAATTTTTGTTTTGTATAATCTGTCAACCCATTTAAATTCTGATTGTTTCAATTATTCAAGTCTTGCTATTTATTTTTTTTATATAGATTTATTTGATATCACTCGATAAGGCTTTAATACTCTAAACTATCTAGTAAAGTTGATAGAAAAAAGACCAACTATTAATCCAACTTTTGGATTTTGTGTTATGCAAACTCAAAACTAACTTTTTTATAATCTTAGATGTGTATATAAGTTTATTAATTTAGACTATACGAAGTTAGTTTTTAATTTTATATTACGTGCCAACAATTTTACAAATAAAAATTATTTTAAAACAAAGATACCTAATAGTTTTATTTAATATAACTCAAAAGTTTAATATTAACTAATCAAAATATAGATATATTGTAAATTGTTCAATATATAGTATTTGAGGATAAATAAAAAAACTTATTTAAGGTTATCACTAAGCTGTCTATAATAAAATAATAATATTAATATTTAATTTAGTTAGAATTTAAATATTTGATTTGATTTTATATTATACTAACCTTTTCTTTTTATGAATATATACAGTAAATTTTAAAGATTTTTTACAAGTTGGTGTTTTGCTACCTTTTTGTGTAAATTCAGTACACAATAGATATTTAGTGCTAAAATTAGAATAACAATATCAGTATTTTCACACTTATAGCATAAAACTGAAAAGATTTGTGCAGAATAATATGCCTTTTCTATTGAAGAATTACAAGTTAGCATATCATTAACAAACACCTTTTCAAATAATTATTTAATTGTTGGTTTATCTGCATATAATAATTCAAATTCTGTTAAGCTTTTTGCTTCAAAATTATCACTTTCTTCACTATCTACAAATTCATTAAGATCATCTTCACTTTCATTGCTATTTGCTAATTCATAACTATTATAATTATCACTTTCATTATTATCTGCTAATTCACTATTAATATCATTCTATAAAATAAATTGTTCTAAATTTCTAAATCTAATTGCAAATTGTCTGCCTCATTTTGATTTAATAATAAATTATCATAATCAGAATTATTTTTACTATTATTTAATTCAATTTCATTGCTAATATATTTTTTATTTTTAATTCTGGTCTAGTAACTATTAATTCAGAATCACTTTCTATTTCAGTATTATTATTTGATTTATTATTAATTGATTGTTTATTTTGAAAGCTAAATAAATTTTCTGCATTATAAAATAATAAACCACATGAATAATCAATAGTATCTAAATATGCAATTAATAACTTTTTTTTTTACTCATTTAATTTTTGTTTAGAGTAAAATAATTGCCAATACTTACATTCTGAATACATAACTGCTATTTCAACATTTTTTGCTCTTTGTGTTGTACCATTAAATGGCATACTGTTCTTTTTTAATTTTACTTGAGAGTTTTTTCTATTTTTATTATTTGCAAGTGAAGGATAATAACAATCAGTAGTATTCTTACTATATACTTCATTTAAAGGTGTATAATGATTATTGTTTCTAAAAATTGGATCAGAAAAATAATAGATAGAATTAAAAATATCTTGTGAAAGCTTTGCAGGTTTGCAAATATCACACTCTTCATTTCTACATTTTTTAATCGAAAAAAATAATGGCTTGATTGATTACAATGCTAAAAAATGTTTTAAATTTGGTCAAATAAATAAATAAATAAAATAAATAAATAAATAAATACTATATTAAACAATAATAATATACAATTAAACCTCTTTAAATGCATGTCCTTTCTAAATATATGACTTCTTATAGGCTTAATATAATATAACATTTATAGATTTGTATCTTTCTAATTACTATATCTTTTTAAATGCATATGTGATTTAATTTTTAAATATAGTTCTATTATAATATATTTTAAGAGATCTAACTATAATTATAAATTATTACTTTATTTTCAATAGTTTTTCAGGTTTTATTAGTTTTTAACATAGTTTGATCTAGCTCTAAAATAGCATCAAATATTTGATCAATTTCTTCAGCTATTGCACTATTTACTGTTGTAAATGTTTTATTTTTTAAACTTTGATAAACAAAAATACTATTTAAAAAATCTTTTACTAGTTGTAAACTTTTTTTTAATTCTTGTTGAAGATTTGAATAATTTTTAGTTGCAATTCTAATATCTTTAATTAAATTACAGTATTTTAATATTTGTTCAAATTCTTTTGAAATTTTTTATATATTAATCCAACATATTGAAGTCAAAGATTTAATATTAATATAACTCTTTCTACAGGATTTTTTTATAAATGTCCAGAAGATGTTCTTACAGCTATCAAGTAGTTAAGATTAAAAAATAAATAAAGAGAAATAAGTAAGATTTGAACAGATAAATAATTAACTTGATGATCATGTCCTCCATCTATATATAAAAATAAAATTGGTAAATTTGTATCATGGTTTTGAATAATATAAAAAAGTTCTGTTGAATGATGTAAAGGAGATGATGCTTCAAATATAGGATCTTTTAATGCTATAAATATATACTTATTATAAAATGAATTATTAATAAATTCTGGTATATTGCATTTCATTATAATACTGTGAATAATTCTAACTTTAGTAAAATCATAATCACTAACTAAAAAATTTTATTTAAACTAACTAATACTTGTTTTTTTACATTCTACTGCTGCTACTAGATATTCAAGTTCACCTACTTTACAGCGATGCTTGTTATCAAGAAACAATATTTATAAAATTTATTGCTAATTCTTTTTGATATTGAAAAAGTGCTGAAACATAATATGTATCAGGATAGTTTAATGCAATTGTTTAGCTTGAATAATAAATTTTAAATTTAATTAACCAGTATATTGTAATGCATTTAAATTATAAGAAGATTTAAGCCAAAATTGTAAATGAACTCATTAAGTACTTGAAATTAATGTTTCAGATGGATAATGAATAGCTACTTGTTGTATAAAATTATTAACAGTAATTGCTTTTGCTAAAGAATTATTGAGCTATGTTTATAATCATCAATAGCATACAATGAATCAGCAGTACTAGTAAGAAAATATTGTGCAACTTTCTAAAATATTTCATATACTGTTGCACCAGAATTATATTCTCATAAATTAGTAATAATTTTTAGATCACTAACTTGAAAGCTAATTTAATTTTATTATTAACTTCTTTTTTATTTTAATTTTCAGCTACTGCAAAATTACTAGTTAAGTTACAATATAACAAACATAATGCTATTGGTTTAACTGATCCTAATAAAGTTTCATATTTAGATCGCCAAGTTTGTGCATAGCTCATATATGATAAATAAATATTTTTTTCTAATAATTTTGCTATTTTATAATTATGTGATACTATTTCTGAATTAGATCTAGTTGAAGATATGTACAATTAATATATTAATGAAGATCCATGCTTATTAGTATGAATATATTGAGCTAATTTAAAAGGTAATCCTTTATCTAATTCTTTAATATATCAATGCTTTGACCTATTAATAAAATTAACTAGAACAAATTATTTTATAATATTAAATTTACTAGCTCTCTGACCCAGGCGCTGCTCCAGAGGCATGTTCTCAATTTTTTAATTTTTATTTTTTTTATTTTTTTTTTTTTTAAGGTGAGGTTTTGCCTTTATCTTTATTTAATAATTTGTATTAAGAATCCACAAGGGGTTTCTCTGACCAAAGCCAAATTTTACAAATTTTTACAAGAATGAGACTCAGACTATTTTATC